GTGTATCAATTTTTTTAAATCCACAAATTTATTCTGGAAAAAGTCAAAAGTGAGCTATGTTCTTCCTAGCGGCTCCGGAGAGAATTTGTTTCCTTGCCCTTTCCAACCTCCAGAGGCACCTGCATCCTTTGGTTCCCAGTCCCCTTCCTCTGTCTGCAAAGCCAGCAGTGCAGCATCTTCAAATCTCCTTTTCTTTCTCCCTCTGCTTCTGTCCTCACATCTCCCATTGACTCTAATTACTTTGCCTCCCTCCTAGAAGGACCTCTGTAGCCCTATACTAGTATTTAGGGCTGACCTGGATAATCTAGAATAACCTCCCCATCTGGAACTTCTTAGCGTAAACACTTCTGCAAAGTTCCTTTTGCCATGTAAGGAACAGAGATTAGGACGTGGACATCTCTGGGGCCATTATTTAGCCAGCCTCAAGGACTGAGAGGCAGTGGGAAGAGATGGAGGAAAGGCCAGTGCAGGGGTTTGAGGGAGAGGAAGAAGAGGCTGTGACCATCAAGGTGACTAGGACTATCCCTGGGACCATCATAAGGCACAGAGACAAGACTAGCCAGCAGCTCAGATCCAAAGAAAAAGAAAAACCGTAGCTCTGTGCAACAATGAGAATGAAATATTTCTGGAAGTAATTTGTCACTTAGTCTGCCAAAAGAAAAAACCCCAAACAAATGCATTAAAAGTGTATATTAACAGAAGTTCCCAGTGGCTATCTCTGGAAGTGAGAATACAGGTAGCTTTACTTTTTAATTTTAGTTGCAGGCTCCAGAATTTCTGTCATGAATATGTATTACTTCATAGTCAGAAAAAGATATTTAAAATTTAATACAATTTTAAAACACAAAAGCATATTAGAAATGAGGCAGTGTTGGCACTGACAAAGGAGCTCTCCTTCTCACAGACTCTCAGACTAAGCATTTTCAGTGATGTTTCCTTTCTTTCTTTATGTCTTTGATTTTCTCATGAAATATCTTCCTCCTCTATTCAAAGTTTAGAGGGACTTGTAAAGGGGGAAAGGACATATGTGTTATGATTTTTTGTAGGCACCTCAGTGTCCTTAAATAGCAGCCAGGTTTGTTTTAATAGAGGATTAAACATGAAATATATACTTTGATGGAGAAATTCTTCATCCTACGGGACATGTCCAATTGAAATATACACATATGAACATCACATGACATGTACAAGGATGTTTATGATTTTATTCCTAATAGTCAAAACCAGAGAACAACCCCATGTAGATGAATAGAGGATGGATTTTAAAACTGTGGCATGTTCTACAATAGAATAGTACACAGCAATTAAAAAGGTAAAACCATACAGAAATCATGGTGAGTGAAAGAAGCCAGCACAATAGTATATGTGGTGTATGATTCCATTTATGTAAAGTTCAAACCCAGGTAAACCTAATCTATGGTGTTCGAATGTGGAATAGTGGTTCCCTTCTCCCCATGTGGATAATAGCTAGGAGCGGCAAGAAAAAGTCCAGTAAGGTTCTATTTCTCTCAGTGGTTAGATTTATCTGGTATCGCTTCATCACACTGTACACTTCTGAAATAGGCATCTTCTGCAATAATATTTACTGTAAGATAAAGAATTATTAAAACTTTAACTTTAAGCGTAGAGTCATGATTTATTCTCAGGCATGACACAGACCCTTGGCTGGGCAGAAGAACATATGGTCAATCTGATCCAGGTCAGAACACCAATTAAAACATAGAACGAAACTGACTAGTAATCATCACCTCAAGCAGGAAAGAAGCAGGCCAGTAGCATTTCGACACCATGGACACCAAGCAGTACTGGCTCGGGTTCTTGCTCCAGCCAGTAACCTGGGACCCCATGACGTATACATTCAATTACTAAGAAGAGTTAGGAGATGCAGGTACAGGGTGAAGTTGGCGAAGACACTGTGTAGATTAAGGTGGGCAAGAGCTTTTATTCTCACAAAGAGTAATTGTTAGCATAGGCTATGAAAATGCCAGATCATGCTCGAATGGTTTAGCTCAGTGATGGCGAACCTTTTGAGCTCTACGTGTCAGCATTTTGAAAAACCCTAACTTAACTCTGGTGCCGTGTCACATATAGAAATTTTTTTATATTTGCAACCATAGTAAAACAAAGACTTATATTTTTGATATTTATTTTATATATTTAAATGCCATTTAACAAAGAAAAATCAACCAAAAAAATGAGTTCGCGTGTCACCTCTGACACGCGTGTCATAGGTTCGCCATCACTGGTTTAGGTTTACAATTTCTTGCCAAAGTTATAAAAAAAAGTGACAGAAAAGATAAGTGATGAAAAGACAGTAAATGTCACATACTGAGGGCATCTGCTACAGTGTCCTGCAATGGTGGTAAATAAACTGAGAAGCAGCTTTGCAGACAGCTACTTCTTGACTGCATTACAGAAGGCCGTGAAAACCTGTCTTCCCACCACATTCGAAGCTGTAGAGGACACCCAGTCTCTCTCCGCCCTGTGTCCCACCTCACCTTTCCCTCTAGGGAAATGCCCATTCGGTGAAGTTCAGATGGAAACGCATTGCGGGACTCTATGCACAATCCGGGCCTGGCCACCGATTCATCCCATCCCATTAGCCACATGGCTGGTTCAGGGCTGGTTCAGGGCCCACCCCAGGCTGGCCGGTTCTTTGGGAATTCCTCTCACCAGCTAGGGAGATGTCTCAACATGCAAGCCAGGGGCTGCCTGGGCCGACTTGACGGCTGCATGGGAGATGCTTATCTAGGAGAAGACAGTTGGAGGCTGGCAAGGACAAGAAATAAGTCAGGCACAGGGACTGACCGGGAGTCTCAGCACACAGGTAGACATCTGTTCCTGCAGCTTCTCCTTCTTCTCTTTGAATCACTGTATGGGTCCTTCCCAGCCATGCCAGACAACACCCATGTTTTCTTAAGCTAGTTTGAATTGGATTTCTGCCCCTTGGCAACCAAAGTCCGAACAAATACACAATGAACATAGGCATAGGAGTACAGTAAAGCTGGCATTCTTTTAGTTACAAGTAATCATTCAAGGGGAAGGGGAACAGCAGGACTGAATGCACAGCTACTAGTAACTGCCCTGTTTCTTCCTTAAACTCTTTCCAGGTTTCACTGCAGAAACACACATACCGCTGCCACCCACCTCATTACCTTTCCACTTCCCCAACCCTCAGTTCTTTGTTCCTTTCTTATTTCCAAAGACATTAAACAGGGAATAAATTTCACTACTGGAAGCTCTGTAGGTCAGGGCCTGTGTCAGTGTTATCAACTAGAAGAGTGTCTGGCTGATGCTTTCCCTAAACTGCCTGCCGATGTGAGGCTCCCAAAGTGTTGGCCGGTAGTTTGGACTGCAGCAGGCTGCAACTGCTGGGTGTATTTTAAACAACTATTTTTCATCACTATTTCCTACAGGTGCTTTGATTCATCACATAGCACTGGAGAGGAAGATGCACACCCCTTTATTACAGCATTTGCTGCCTGGTGTCATTGTGGTTTTATGTGTCTGTCACCACCAGACCATACATATGTCTATGAGTAGAGAGACCCCATCTTACTGAATTGGCACGCTCAGCATTAGCATGGTTCCCCACACGTACAGGTGTCTGATGACTCCCCATCAGGTACAAGCGATTCTTAAAACTCCATAGAACCTTGCTCTCCAAGTGTGGTCCATGGACCAGCATCATTATGATCACTGGGAGAGAGGGCTGCAAACGCAGAATCTGGGCCCCACCCCCAAACTACTGATTTGTAGTTGAGAACTGGCATGCAGGGAGAGGAGACCTGAAGAGATCTTGCAGAGGCTAGAGTTGATTGATGGGTGAGGAGAAGGGAGAAGGGGATGTTAAGGCAGATGAGCCTGCAAGGCTGGGGTAAGAAATGACAGTGAGCACCAGGGGAAGGCAGGGCGGCCAGAGGAAAACAGGAGGAGTTCTGGGGTCCTGTGTCCTGCAGACCATCTCCACTGTACAGGAGCCCTTCAGTGAGTGTGAAGAAAGGTAGTTGGAAAAACCTTCGCTGCTGACAGGGGAAGACCAGAACATCATGCCTTTTCCTTCTCCCATCTTTAAACTGGGAACTCGTCTTTAAATTCAAGATCTATTAGGTGCCTGGTTTTTTGTACCCAGAGGAGAAATAGGCTCATAAGAGCAGCCCACTATCGGGTTCTTAATTTTAGAACCTATTGATGTGTTAAAATGGAAAAATAAATTAACACTGTTACTCCAGTGCCGAAATGAATTGGTTTGGGGCCAGCATCTGCAGGAAGCTTCTGCAGGAACTCAGTAAATGATTTCTACCCGAAAACACAGCTCAAGGAGCACTTAATAAGTGCAATTTGATACTAATGATGAGTTCCATGGCTGCACCCTATATCCAGTTCAGCCAGTGTTCCGGGGAACAGTAATTAATGAACCAGGTCCAGGACACACTTACGAAGGAGACCCCTTTGGAATGGGGATGCAATGTGGTGGAGGGCAATTCTAGAACAGGCGACCGCGCATTTTGCTGCTTTAAGCTCTGCCCGCCCCCCCCCCCCCCCTCCTGGGCACCCCAAACGCTGCTGTGAATCCTGAGTACCACCCTAAGCAATTCTTTTGACCAGGAATGTAGGTAGCAGTTTAGGGAAAGGCGGGGAGAAGTGGCCTCTGGAGACCGGGACTCTCTAGGGAGACCTCAGGAATGAAATAGGTCACGCGGCTCCCAGGCTGCGCTCCCTCGCCCCCGCCCGCCCGGTGCGTGCAAGCCTGGGACGCCAGCGGGAGTGGGATGCGGGCGGCAGGCAGGGAGGATGAGGGTGCATTTCTCGACCTCCAGCTTCTCTCCCTCCCTGAGGCGGTGCGGGGCTCTCGCCGCATGGGGTACGCGCCTCCTGCCCGTGGGGTCGCGCGCCGGCATCCCGGGCTCCGGTGTGCGGGAGCGCGCAGTGCGGGCGCGGGGCCGGGCGCACGCGCGTGCGGGGCGCATTGAGCCCGGCCGGCGGGTGGGGAGGCCGGACGCGCAAGCCCAGCTGCACGCTCACCTGGCGCCCGCTGCTCACCTGGCGCCGAGCGCGCCCCCGGCCTCCCGGCTCCTCCCACGGCCGCCGCCCCGCGCCGCCGCCGGCCACCTGCGACCCGAGCCGCCGCGCGCCGCGGACGCACCGGAGGAGCCCCCTCGGCCTGCGCGCGCCAAGGTGACCCCCCGGACGACCCTCGCCCCCGCGGGCCGCGGGCCCAGCGCCCTCTCTGTCCCCGTCGCGTCCGCCGCCCGTCCCTGCCGCTAGGGGAGTGGCTGCAGAATCTGAGCATCAGTCGGCCGGTCTGTCTGTCTGTCTGCCTGTCTCCACACCTCCAGTGCACTCACCGGCCTTTTGTGCACGTGGGGGAAGCCCGGACCCCTCTTTGTTCTGGCTGGGGGTGTGGATGAGTGTGTGCACGCGCGCCGGGGATATATTTTAGAGGGTGGGAGCTCCGTGGAATCGGACGACTTATAAATTCCATCGGGATGACCCAGGCTCTGGACTGTGGCTGCGGCCGGCGTGCGGTGCTCCGGCGGCCAGATGGCAAGTAGCTGCGCGTTCTGGGCTGCGGGAGAGGATGGAGTGTGTCCCCCGCACTTCGGCACACAGACCGCGCCGCCCCTGGGGGCCTGCCTCACTGGCAGCCGTGTTTTGAGGTCCTTTCCTGTGCTTTCCCCAGTGCCACACGGCATTTTTCATAGTGAGTCTTAAATCACGGAGACTTTGGCTTTTGTTTTATTTCGTAACAGTTTGTCATTCACGAAGCTTGTGGCATCTGCTAGCGGTGTTTGAAGAGGGGCTGGCTGTCTTTTTGTGTAGTTCTGCATGATCTTGGACTGTCCCCCTGCTGTGCCTGTCCATTAAAAGACTGTCTTTTTGTTGAAGAGGACGGGGTTAAAATGACCGGAGACCCGCAGGCCAATCTCAGCGGCTTGCTCCGGGGTTACTTAGATGCGGGTGCTCCTGTGGAGAACGCCTCCGCTGCCGTCTCCTCCCAGGTTCCCGCTGTGGAGCCAGAGCCGGAGCTCGTGGTGAACCCCTGGGACATTGTCCTGTGTACCTCAGGAACTCTCATCTCCTGTGAAAATGCCATCGTGGTCCTTATCATCTTCCACAACCCCAGCCTCCGAGCGCCCATGTTCCTGCTGATCGGCAGCCTGGCTCTGGCAGACCTGCTGGCCGGCGTCGGACTCATCATCAATTTTGTGTTTGCCTACCTGCTTCAGTCGGAAGCCACCAGGCTGGTCACCATTGGCCTCATTGTCGCCTCTTTCTCTGCCTCTGTCTGCAGCTTGCTGGCCATCACCGTGGACCGCTATCTCTCCCTGTATTACGCTCTGACATACCATTCGGAGAGGACAGTCACGTTTACCTATGTCATGCTTATCATGCTCTGGGGGACCTCCATCTGCCTGGGACTGCTGCCCATCCTGGGCTGGAACTGCCTCCGGGACGAGTCCACCTGCAGTGTGGTCAGACCTCTCACCAAGAACAACACGGCCATCCTCTCCATCTCCTTCCTCTTCATGTTCGCGCTCATGCTTCAGCTCTACATCCAGATCTGCAAGATCGTCATGAGGCACGCCCACCAGATAGCCCTGCAGCACCACTTCCTGGCCACCTCGCACTATGTGACCACCCGGAAAGGGGTCTCCACCCTGGCCATCATCCTGGGGACCTTTGCTGCTTGCTGGATGCCTTTTACCCTCTATTCCTTGATAGCTGATTACACCTATCCCTCCATCTACACCTACGCCACCCTCCTGCCCGCCACCTACAATTCCATCATCAACCCTGTCATATACGCGTTCAGAAACCAAGAGATCCAGAAAGCCCTCTGCCTCATCTGCTGCGGCTGCATCCCATCCAGCCTCTCCCAGAGAACGCGGTCCCCCAGCGACGTGTAGCAGCCTTCCAATGACAGGATGCTGCCCACCCAATGCTGCATCTACCAAGCACTTCCACTGCCTGGCGACTGGTCCAGATGCTTTCCTTAGATTCTGTATGCGGGATTCTCTTTGGAGCCACAGAAACACTTAGCATTCGTGAAACTTTCATTCAGATCAGTTAAGTGATTGGAGTGAAAATAATGTTACCTGTGTTTTCACACTTTAAAAAAAATTGTTGAGGTCTTTGCTCAACGTTTTGTTGTTGTTTAGGAGTGGGGGATTTGTTTTATATTTTATTTGGAGGCAGGGTTTTTGCTTTATATTTTGTTTGGAAGGTTGATGGTGGGTCAAAAAGGAAGGGATTTGACAAGGCCATGATGTTCTAGAAAGTAAACTGGTTCCAGAATTTTTACCTGGACTTTAAAATAAAATGGAGTTATTGAGGAAAATGAAGTTACTCTTTCCAGACTTTTTTTTTTATATGTCAAGGTAGATTTTCAATACTACATGTATCTAACAGAATACAGTCTCTTTCATGCCAGTGAAAATATTTTACATGCTTTTGCTTGGAAGAAACCTGATTTTGTAAACATGAACTCAATAATAAGTTACCAGCACCGAAACTGTGAACCTGTTCTTATTCATCCTTTCTTTACTTTCAGCAGTTACTGTTGACAGGAATTACTCTGGTATTTCTATGAATGTTGTAACTCTTTCTGCATGGTTGCCTGTATTAGCTGGACCACTAGTTTCAAATGTTGTCATGTAAATCCAGAATCAAATGCGTCATTTTTCAACAAAGGTTTTTAATATGTCCTTTAAAAGTGAATTATGAAATTTGTTTTATTTACATAGGAAGTTGGATTCACCCTTGTAGTTTCTCAAGCTACAGTCTCATTGTTTTTAGGAAACAAAAAGAAAAAATTAATAACATCTCTTGAAAGTAGATTAAATATATTTCAGTATATTCTGAAATATAAATCAATGTAAAGCTATCACATAATATGAAAAACATCACTTTTTCCTATCTTCATCTAAGAATGAATTAAGTTATTCTTGATTGAGACAAATAGAATTAAATATTGTAGACCACATATTTCTGGTTTATATTATCAATGGTGTAAAATGCATTTGAAACAGGTGGTCTCCTTTTTTAATTATTACTTTTTTGTGTGTACATAGCACCCATATCTGATGGTGACATATCATATAAGTTCACCAGTGGCTATTCATGAAAAGTTAAGTTTCAACTTCTTTTTCTTCTTTTCACCAAAAAACCAACTTAAATGCAATAAAAACTGTATTGCCTGTTTTCAGAGAGCAAGAATTTCACGAGAATATTACACAGAAGAACTGATTTTAAACATATTATAAAATCATTGTGTCTGAGCATCATTTCTGTTAGCACAGACAGATGTTTGGGACACCTTCCCTCCACGGGCAGTGGACTTACAGCTGTGTCTACACAACCAGATGGCGATAAGACCAGTGTAAGAGCCCCTGGGGAATCATTAGCCTCATTGGTTCGTCCCCATGTTCTGCCCATGGTCTCAGGACCCTCTGGCTAACTGCATACTGATGCCATCTCTCCAGAGCCCCTTCTCATGTAGCACAAGTAGGAATAAATTCTCTACTCAGACCTGTGTCTCCTCCCTTAGGCTACTTGTGGAAGCAGGAGGAAGGTTGAAATATTTCAGAAATGGAGAAGGATATTTCAATGCATATTACCTTACAATCTAATCAAGCTGATGCCTTTAAAATTTTTTCTTCAACATGTGATTGAGTTGGTAGATTGAACATGATGAGTCTGTTTTTAATCACTTCAAGTCAGTAGCATCTCCAGGCCAGAAATAATTAAGGTAAGTTGGTTTGGCCATGGGCTGGGAAATATCCAGAAGGAGGTTTGAAAGCAATCAGTGATGTTTTTGTAGTAATGGTGGGTCTCTCTCACCTTGGCTGGTTAGCTCAGTTGTTCAGAGCATTGTCCCAATACCCTAAGGTTGTGGGTTCGATCCCTGGTCAGGGCACATACAAGAATCAATAATCAATGAATACATAAATAAGTGGAACAACAAATCTATGTTTCTCTCTCTCTCTCTCTCCCTTTCTGTCTCTAAAATCATTTTTTTTAAAGGTGGGTTTTCCCATAGTTAGAATTATCATGATAATAACATGTGCTATTTTTTTTACCACATTTTGTGTCAGGCCCCATGCTGGGTGATTTACCTGCTGTTACTGTATTCACAAAACCACACTATTATAGGCAGGACAACTAAGGCTCAGCGAGACTAAGAAATGTGCCTGAGGCCCCAGCTTCAAGGGTAGAGCCAGGATGTGATACAAGTTTTCCAGCATCTATACCTGCCTCCTTTTGCGCACTGCTGCCTTGCTCCCTCACTGTGAGGGCAGAGGGAAATGATTTATAACACGTTACTGTTACTACCTTTTAGTTCTACAATTAACACATAAAACTTCTTGTTTAAAATTACGTGTGATGTGGTCCTACATGGAATAGGTCTGTTCTTAGCATCCTCTCCTTCTAAGTATTTCCCCCTCTGTAGACAAGAGTGCAATATTTTAGTGTGAAGCGGTGAAGGCACTCTTACTATATAGTGATTTTTCCTTCATTTATTATTGTAAACTTTATATCATACGTGTACATCAGTATGTAATGGTCTGATACATACTAGTTAAGTGGTTGCTTTTTACCCCTATTTTTTTAAATCCTTACAGGGGATATGTTTTATTGATTTTTAGAGAGGAAGGGAGAGAGGAGGAGAGAGAGAGAGAAACATTGATGTGAGAACACCAATTGACTGCCTCCCATATGCTCCCCACCAGGGAATCAAACCCAAAACCTTTTTGGTGTACAGGACGATGCTCTAACCAACTGAGCCACCTGGCCATAGCACCTCTGTTTTTAAAACATCTTATTTCAGCAAAGATTTTTCAATTCAACTATAACATGTTTTTACTGTTTACATTAAATTGTGAAAGTTTTTGGAAGTCTATATGGTTTCCTATAAAATTTCTTAGTTTCTGTGAGGTTAATAGTTCAATGTGCACAGGTATTGATATATATGTAGTTGTTTAGATATGTGTGTATATATCTATATAGAAATACTAGAGGCCCAGTGCACGAAAATTCATGCACTGAAGGGAAGGGTTCCTCAGCCTGGTCTGCGCCCTCTCACCGTTTGGGAGCCCTCAGGGGATGTCCTAATGATGGCTTAGGCCTGCTTTTCTCGGAGAGCAGGCCTAAGCTGCAGTCTGGCCTCCCTCTGTGGGAGGTGACCGGGCAGCCGATCAGGGGCCAGCGCTGGCTGCCGCCACCCCCCCCCCATCACCGTCCCCCTCC